AGATACATCTTCACCATATACATCAGCCTATGGGGTAAACACATATACATCTGTGTGTATATATGTGATGGTATATTCTCTCAGTTTATAATTAAAAAAATTGCAAAGTAAACGCTCTCGTGTTTCCACATTTTTGCATTTTCGCAATTTGCATTTTAAAACTGTCACTTTGTTTACACAAAAGAGAGAGCTGCTTCTAAGCAAACATTAATTTAACCCGCATTATTTGCAAAAGCTCTTTTGTTTAATTAACACAAAATCTTATTAGGTTGGCACGACTGATAAATAGCGATATTAAGGTTCTGTACCGAGAGGAAAATAATTAGCAATCATAAATGTGTAAAATTTGGCAGTTTTTTTCTTTATTTAATCAACAAAACCATATTTTAAAGGTTAAAATATACAAACAAACCAAACAAAACTATATTTTAAAGGTTAAAATATGGTTTTGTTAGGTTGATACAACTAAACAATCCAAAATCTAGTTTGCATATTGTGAAAAAATAATTTTCTAGCTTATAATATATATAAAATTCTCCTGTACGGGTGCATAATTTGATACTTCTCCTAAACGGTTATTCGGATTTTGATAAATCTTTTTAGAGTTTGTCAAAGGAAATTTTTCAGATTTAACTGTAGTAATATTGTAGAAATAAATGGCAAAAATCACAAAAACACTTATTGTTTGACATTGAAAACATTTGAACTGCCATCTGCTAGAAATGTCAATTAACTTGAAATTTGAATTTAGCTGAAATTGTGAGCCTTGATAATATTAGATTATAATATACAAGAAAAATGTAATGTCTACATTATTATTGCCGAAAAGCAGCTGAGATGTGCCAAAAATTAAAAATAATATAAGATACAGTCAATAGTATATACTTGGCAGATGAAATTATATGATTCAGTTTAATAAATAACGCAATAAGTCTAAAATTGCATATACACTATTATTTTAAACCTATGCATGTCGCATTTTGGTTTACTTTACTAAATTATTTAACAATACAAAAACAATATTTCTACTTATTAAAAAAATGATTTAGAATTTTGTTTCATGTGTCAAAAATTCATTTGTTTGGCATCGGATACGGAATTTTTAGTTAGTTGATTGTAGATTGAATAGTGCACATATGGACTAGACTTTACAAATTAATTCACCTAAGATTTGAACATAAACAATAATGTTTATCGAATCATTAGTAAGAAAAATGTACTTTAGAAAATTATAATTGCCAAAAAGCTGTAATATATTGTACGAGATTTTGAAAATTATAGACTATATTATTGAAACAATTATGTTGTGTGGTAAAATCAAGTGTGATATTGTTTTTTTACCGCAGATACTATAAATATTATTATTTTCTGAATTTCTTATACTGCTTATGCTAAGACCATAAATGATTCACAAATGCAAGACATCAAATAGGATATTAGAAAGTATAGGATAGGATATTAAAAAAATTTGCACTTTTGAATTATAGACGTGGGTACAGGACAACATCTGTCGGGTCATCTAGTATATATATATATATATATATATATATATATATATATACATATAAATTTACTTATATTTATATTTCTATATATATGTTTGTGAGTCATTAAAAGGCAAACCACTCCGTATCGCCATACGCTATCATTATTCTTCATCAAAAAGCTTTTTTCCTTTTTATATCAAATCTATTTTGATATATCAATGATATATATATATATATATATATATATATATATCTTAATATATATAAATATATATTTTCCATGACGCATAAAGTTAGTTACCGTAATTAAATATTTATCTCAAATATCATAGATATATTGATTTTTCGTGTTTGTAATATGATGCAAGATGTTTGTACAAATATTTATTAATACTATTCGCGTTTTACTTGATTAGAAAAAAATTAATACTTTGCATAATTAATTTATAAAAACTAGGTGTAAGTGGCATTTTAACTTGAGGAAACTCGCTAAAACTAAATTAGCTATATAAATGGTATAATAGTTTTTATATTTATAGTTCTATTTATAAGAATCAAATAGTTTATAAAATTTTATTTTATCAAACTTAACATTCTTTCATTCATGCATTTATTAATGAAAAATTTTAGTAATTCATCCATAACCAGGTAAAAAATATTGTCTATGAAAATAATAATAATTGTTATTAGAACTTGATTAATAATAATAAATAAGAGCTATTTTTTTAATTTTTAAAGTTATTACTGAGAAGTGTATTTGATATTTTCTAAATGTGTGTGTGGAATGTGTATAAGTTATGTGTAATTTATATAAATGTGTATAAATGAATAAATTTTAGTTGAAATGCAATAAAATGTGAATAAGTTTGTATAAATTGTGTATAAATGTATACAAGTGTCTACGAATGTGTATAAATGTGATAAAGGTGCATAAATATGTGTTGGGGTGTATGAACATGTATAAACTTCAAACTTATCGTTTAAATGTTACAAAATCTTGCTAATTTATGGTAGGTT